TGTCCTCTAAGACTTAGACTCACCATTACAGAATTCGTTCTTCGATGCAACAAATGTGTCTTGCACTCCAGCCACGTGCCAGGTAACCTAGGTGTGCGGAACACCTCAGTGAACAAAACACAGTGAACAAAACACAGTCCCTGTCCTGGTGGTGCTTACACTTTGGCACAAGAGCACAGACAGCGAACCCTACATAAAATACACTTTTCAGATTGCGTGGTAATTTTGGAAGTGAATCAGGACAACAGAAGAACAGAGGCAGGGCGTACCAGTGCTGGCATGGGGACTTAAGCTGTGTTTGTGTGTGTGTGTCTTTTTATTCATAACAACATACATGCATGTGAGAGAGAAGGAGAGCTGAGTCCCTTCTGTAGGTCTGGTCACGCCGCAATGTGCCCCCCAGCCGCCCAGCCCCATCAGATCTTGGGCACTCTTGCATAAGCTCAGCATATTTCAGGCTATCTGGTCTGGGGATTTGAACCACTGTCACCATGCGGGATCCGGCTTCTCTTGAGCAGCAGATCACTGTGCTGTGGAGGTGGACCTGAGGTTTTAAACAGAGCAGAAGAAGGTGACATTGAGCGAGGCCTCAAAGGGATGTGAAGGAGTAAACCATGAGACCATGGGGAAGGGCCTTCCAGGGTGTGTAACCACCAGTGCCAAAGGCCCTGAGCCTGGGCGTGCCTGGTGGAGGGAGCCTGCAGGAAATCGAGAAGATGACATCAGAGGTGGGCCTAGAGCATTTTACTCTGCAGATTTGGGCTTTTACTGTTCGTGAAACGGGAAAGCCCACGGGGGCTCTGCAGAGACATGATGTAACTTCACAGGACCTCTGGCTACCTTCAAATAGTCTACAGGGTCCGCCCAGTGGCATGGAGGTTAAGGCAGCTGGATCCCACATGGCCAACTGCATGGTTCACGTCCTGGACCCACGTGTGTGTGCATGCCCAGAATCCCAAGAGGGAAATAGAGAAGGAATTATGGCATGATTTCTCACTTTCTCTCTCTTCCTTTCTGTTTCTCTCTGATGAGCACATGTAACGTATAGGAAAGGAAGGAAAAAAGAACAAAGAAAGGGAAAAAAGGAGTCTGCAGAGGGAAAAGGCAGAATCGGAAAAGCAGTAAGAGGTCTTTTGCAGCACATATTCCGAGTCTGCGACGATGTTTTCCTGGATATAGTGGTGGAGATGGCAAGAAGTGGTTGGAGTCTAGATTTATCTCTAGTGGCAATTTCTAAACAAGTTTGGGGCCCCAGCTAGTCAGACAATCCAATAAACTCTACTATATTATGATGAGTAGGGTAGAAAAATATTCTACCTGGTTGAGTAAAATGTAGTAGTTTTGTTTTCTCCCTGGGTCTCTGCTGTTGAAGAAAGAAAAGGAACCATAGTAGAATTTACATTGTACCCAACGGCAACCCGTGAAATGAGTCAATCCCAAATTATCCACTTCCTCCACCCCTCTTCTGTTCCTGTAGAAGAGAACTTGAGCAATTTGAAAACTGGCGAAAGGACCAGAACCAGTTGTGATTAATCCTAATTTGCATTTATTTGCCATTTGTATGGGCTTTACTATACTCCATCAGTATGTGATTAATGGGATGGAATTAGCCATTGTTTAAACCAGAATGAGAGGTGCAGGCCATTAGGACATAAAAATTCTAACAAGAGAAGTTCGAGCTGGAGAGAGGAGGCTGCATGAAGAAGAGACCGAAGAACTGCTAATAGACAGGGGATGAGGAAAGGCGATCCTGGAAGGCGGACAGCCTGAGCAAAGGCTGGCAGTGAGGCATCCCCTTGGGGAGCAGAATGGCAGGCAGGCAGTCTGGCCAACCCAAGAGCAAGGTGCACGACAGAAGCTTTGGAGACCGAACTGCAAGGCCCACCAGGCAGTTGGGGAGCCATGGCTGATCTTTGAGAAAGAAAGTGGTCATGTCTTCACAGTGGAAGTGGACCTAGTGACAGTGGATGGGGTAGCTAAAGGAGGCAGAGACCAAAAGGTCGTGGGAGATTTTGGAATCTACTCCAATGAGAAACTCTGGTGTAAAGCGATAAGATATTGAGTAGGCAGAGCTGTCAAACAAAGAGTCAATGGCAGACTGGCCTAAGCAATAAAGAAGGAAAAGTCAAAGGTGAATGAGATTCTGAGCTGGAAGCGTAGATAAATGGTGGCAGCAGTAGAGGAAGCGGGGAGTTGTGCCAAATGGAGGAGGTTTTA